GTCCCTCATAAGGGCTGTAAAGCTTGCTTAACTTAGACTTAGGGAAGCCTAGCCTGTTATGCACAGATCTACTTTGTCAGAATAAATTGACAGTAGGCTTTAGATCTAATAAACTTCTTTAGTTTCTTCAGTGTGGGTAGGGAAGATGTGGTGAGTGGCATGATCTGGTCTGGCACTCTGCTTCCTTCCTCCTTGAGTTCTTGAGGCCCCTTGTGGACATAAAACTTCAAGTAGCAGGGTGCCTGCATCTCCATTGTGGGGTAGTAGTGGTTTGTTCTGACGTAGGACCAGGCTTCTCCATAAACCTGTGGTCCTTCCCTGCTGAAGTGCTACACTCCTACATGACCTTTTAAAAATTTTGGTTCCTGTTTAATTTTCTGCTTGATATTTGTGTGTGTCTGGACTGAGATGGTACTACTCTGATTATTGTGTTTTTCGGGTTTTTTAAATAACTGATGTGTTCTTGTTAATTCTGACAAATACAAAGCTGATACAGCAGGCATGTTAAGAAATTTTTTGCACAGTTAAGGCTCCACGTGGTCTTTGCTGCTTCTAGTTTATAATTAACTCTGCAAAAGAGTCATGAAGCATTAAGAGCATAATTTACACTGGAACATTCTCTTGTTGGAAAGCTGTGATCTCTTACAATGACAGCTTACTGATGGTGTGTTGACCTGAACCCTTACAAATGATAAATGGACTGCTACACTATTAAAATATGTGATGATCCTATTGGTGTATTTGCCTTCCTTCAGTATTTGTAGGATAGGAATGTGAAATGTAAGTCCATTCTCTTCTAACCTGTAATCCGTACTATGGAAGTAGAGTATATGTAGTTGCCCAAACAGACTTGAATCTGTGACGTCGCTTTTAAATTTCTAAAGACATTCTTCTCCTGTTAGTTTGTAGCAGAGCACTATTCTTTAGTTCTTTTCTCACACACTTGTGTTAAAACTATTGAAACTTATTAAATGATAATGTGACTCTCTTGACTGCAGGAATTGGGAGTTCTAAGAAAAATACAGATCAACTTTTACATGATAAAGCTGACATGGCAAAAATGGGTGTGTGGAGGAATGGCAAGCCAGAGCAGCATGAGTTAAGGCAGATCAACTATGGAAGACAAGCTACCTAACTTTATACTATAATGTATATTAGTGTAATTGTATTTGATATGAGAGTGCTATATTGAGGCCACTTACAAATGCACACTACCAAAATTTGGGGTAGTTCTTTTCTAACATCTCGTGAAGTTGTATTTCTACAGAAGTGCACTTGAAAATGGAGTAGGAATGTCTGAACTAGAAACTTCCTTGAAAGTTAAACTCCTTTTCATTCTTCTCTGTGCTGACCTCATTGATACTATAGGTTATTCAGAAAGTGATAAATATAAGATCAGACTTGCGCTGCATTGGGAGTTGATTGGGTTAGAGGCAGAAGACAACACTTAAGTACACGCTGTGTTGAAATGAAACAGCCAAATGAACTTTTCTAAGTACTTCCTATTCAGGAGGTGGAAAACTTCGTATTTGAAGCTGCCTATGGCAGTGTAAGCCCATAGAATAAGTTAAGTGGAGATGAAAAATAATTGCGGCTAGCAGTAGTTTTCCTTAGGGGCTCATATTGACAAGAAAAATAAGAATGATATTTAAAAAATAAAGTGAACCGTTTTTCTTGCAGTTTACCTTTGGTGGTAACTTCTTAAGCCTCTGTAACTCTACTGTATGTCTGAAATGTGTTAGACTGCCATAAACTGTCGATAGTGTGTGCACACCTAGCCTGCCTCTAGTTACAAGGTGATGCAGTCAGTCTTGAACTGCAGTTAAATTTTAAAAAAAGATGAATAATGAAACTCTCCTATTACAGAAAAATCAGAAAAATCAAAACTGGAAAGAAGACCTAGTTAAACACAACTTCTGTGCCAATCCCAGGGTTGCATTTGCTGTTGCCAGGAAATGGTTATGCATAGGAGGTACAGAGACATTTAATAGCAATGGACCAAATGTGTCCTGCAGTTTTTTTTAATGCCTCTCTTTCTTGTCTGATAGAACATCCATTATATTACGGAGAACTCCTTGTTCCAGATCTGAGATCTGGATCTGTAATCTTCTGCCTTTAGAGTAAGGGTGGCTGCAGTCTGCTTCACTCTGTGCAATGTGTCTGCCTAGCTCTAGGTGAGTCTCTGGTGTCTTCCTGCTGGTGCAGCAGCATCTGTATCTGCAGCACAGATGGGTCTTCCTGGGATGTGTCTGGGTTCTCAGGGCAGTCCTGGCCTGTGTTTTTCTCGTCTCCCTATTCATGTTTGCTTGTGCGGTATGTTCTCAGACGGGGTCCACATAATCCTACAATGTATCAATGGTGGCAGTCTAGCTTAAGGGTTAATAATAACCTATGCGGAAGTAGTGCTCTTGAAACCTGTGGTGTAAGTCAGTGCAACTGGTTGATAGCTGCAGAAGCTGGAGATTAAAAGGATCCCTCATTCTGAAGTACTTTTGATTGAGAGTCTTGAATGGCCAGATTGTTTACCAAACCCTGCTGGGAGTTTCTTCTCTAGGAAAGTGAGGTTTGTGCCTTCAGCTTTCAACTAAACAACTAATCTTCCAGGGCATAGTGGCTTAATTCTTTATCTATTTAAATTTACCTCCAACTCAGCAATAGTACAATCACTAGATACCTGCTTTTAGCTAAAGTGTTCTTGAAATGTTTAAATTGTGCAACGTTCGTGTAAGCCTGTCAGCCCAGCGCTAAGCTGAGCTTACCCTCTTTAAAACTCTATGGTTGCAGTTGCAACTTCATTGAATTGAAATACTCTAATAGGGGAGAATTCTGTGGGATGTTGGCAGTGCGTTTTAGTGGCTGTCAGCAGTGTGCTCACCTTTTTTTCTTAAGTCAGTCTCAAACAGTTTTAATCTGCGGTAGTTTGTGTTGAATGCTTATGAATACATCCTTTTTTTTTCCTCATGAATTTTTTTTCCTACAAATTCAGTCACCTGGAATAAATGCTCTTTCCACAAGGCAAGGATAGATATACAGAAAATGTTCTGCCTTAGTCATTTAAAAAAATTTCTTTTTGCATAATTCTGTGTTACATTACTTCAACCTCAAGATGTAACCATGCTTTTTGCTTTTTTTTTTTTTTTTTTAAACGAGAGGATATAGCAAGGCTGTTGCTCTCTAATGAGAGTCCAGAAATGGATGACAAGGGGGGCTTCTTGTATTTTGTTTGAGTGTATCAAATAATTGGGGCTGCTCTGGAGCGGGATTATTTGTTTTTCAGTAAGGTCATTAGAAATCCAACCTTGTAGGTTAAGAATAGCTTAAAAAAATCAGTAATTTTTGTGCTGTTTAGATGTTTTTAAAACTTTACTCCAGAAAGTTCTTATGAATTCAAGAACTGTATAGCCTGAAGTCTGCTGGGAGAAATAATGTAGTACCCTATTCTACTGAGTACCATATGAGTAAGTACTTGTAGTTCATAACTTACCGTGCCCTGTTCTGGGCTCCCCAGTACAGGAAGGATGTGGACATACTGAAGAAAGTCCAGTGAAGGGCCATGAAGATGATTCAGGGCTTGGAGCATTTGACTGCGCAGGGAGAGGCTGAGAGGGGTGGGGTTGTTCAGCCTCTGGAAGAGACAGCTCAGGGGATCTTAGCAGTGTGTATCAATACCTGGTGGGGGAGGTAAAGAAGATGGAGTCAGACTCTTCCTGTGATGCACAGAGAGAGGTCAAGAGGCAGTGGCCACAAATCAGATATGTAGGAAATTCCATTTAAACCTAAGAAAACCTCTTTACTATGAGAGTGGTCAAACATGGGAATGGGTTGCCCAGTGTGGTGGTAGAGTCTCTGTCCTTGGAAATACTCAAAACCCAACTGGATGTGGCTCTGAGCAACCTGCTTTGAGCAAGGAGGTTGTACTACAGATGTGCAGAGGTCCTTTCCAACCTCAACTAATCAGTGATAACTGCATAACATAGTTAATACTGTTTATTAATACTGGTTTATGCCAGTGCTTTGTATGCTAATTAGTCACTTAATATAAGAACTAAGGTAGGCATAGACATCGCCGGTTTCTGTTAAGTGCCTTGTCTGAAGTCTCTCTCTATGTGTTTATTCTGTCATATGTTAACTGCCAAGAAGTGTTACTGACCTGATGCTTATTTTGTGATACTGCAAAGTATTTTTCTGTTGCTTTAAATGTCTTGTATGAAGGATGGGTTCTTTCAAGTTTTTATGTTAACTTTTCAATCCTATAATATTCCATGATTTCTCCTTTTATAGTAACATAAAATCCTTTAAGCCCTTGCTAGGTGATGTTGGCTTTAAGTTTTCAACAAATTTTTCAGATGCATCAATTTTGTACCTGCTCACCCTATCTTTAGCTAGTTTGTTAGGCTACATATCTTTAGTCCTTAAATATAAAAAGATATTACCCTGATCAAAAAAAAATGGGAAGTGCTCTGAAATTTGCTGTGTTTTTCTAAAATATCCTTTAAAAATTCTTAATATTTTTAAAGTTATATTTTTAACTATTCTAGCTGTTGCAGGCAAGACAATTTTTATCTTCTGAAGTGAAGACTTTCCCATTGAATAGTAAATTCCTTCTTGTAATACTCTGTATCCTTCAGCTGCTCATGAAATTGTGCTGGCTTGGAGCCTAACACTGTTCCAAGAGAAATATGTCTAATTCTGTAGTGATGTGAACTAAGTCACTTGTGGCTGTTTACTTAACTGTGACCTACCTGTTTGTTTGTGGTATGATGAAAATGCGTTGACTTTCCTGGCACAGAAAATTTGAGTGCTATCAGGCAGAAATTATGAATATTTTTAAATGAAGTATGTAGACATGAAATTAATTAAGGTTAGTTTAGATTATGGACAAGTTATGCAGTAATCATTACTGGGTAACTATTTTTAGGGCCTTTGCTATAGTTGTACTCGAGATACGAGGGAGAAGGCAATAGCTTACTAATGCTCAAATTTGCTATTTTATCTTTCAGAGCTGTTGAGTCCCAGAGTGAGGGACAGTGTGGCCCAGTAGACTCCCTGTGGCGACGTTACAGTGAATTTGAGTTGTTGAGGAATTATTTGTCAGTTACCTATCCACATATTGTTGTTCCACCTTTGCCAGAAAAAAGGGTAAGGAAGCTGAGGTTGCAGCTTGCTTTGTATTGTTTGTTATTTATTTACTATTAACACTGTTCTGTTTAAATAGGCTGACTTTGTCTGGCATAAGCTATCAGCAGATAATATGGATCCAGATTTTGTGGAAAGAAGAAGAATCGGTTTGGAAAACTTCTTGTTACGTGTGGCTTCACATCCTGTTCTTTGCCAAGACAAAATCTTTTATTCATTTTTAACACAGGTATAGTAAACTGATGTGCTTTCTAAATACATTATCTCAAAAAAATAACCACTAAACAATGTCCTTTGCTCTTCTTGGCTCCCTTTGACCCATAGTTTGCGCTGTGTCTAGGAGAAGGATAGACAATGTGAATAAACTTAAGGTGGAAAAGGCTTGTCCGTGTAAAAGCTTCTTAACAGCCCACTGCAGTTGTACAGTTGGCCTTCTAATGTACCTTATCACTTTTCCAGTCTAGTTTTAAGACTCCTAAGAGAGAATTTCCACCTCTTTGGAACAGCATATTAGGAACTTAACGTGTGTGGATTGGGAAAGCTTCCTTAGGACTAAACGTGAAATAGCTAGCATGCTATACTGCTGGCTGCAGCGACAGTACTGGCTTCCAATTCACTTCTTGGATATCCACGGTTTCTTTAGCGTTGTGGTTTGAATCATGATCCATTCATATGTTATCACAAAAGTTGTGATCTGATTGTCAGCTAAAGCGTTGCATTCTGCAGTTTTCAACTTCAGGAGATGCTGGGCGTTTCTTTGTTCTGTGCTTTGATCAGAGATTCCCGAGTAGTGGACTGAGCTGATACGTTTATTGCAGCACAGTATAGTATGTAGATGAACCAGCATATGGAAACTGAAAGTCGTGGACAACCAACCACTACATGTGAGCGAGGTGACTCTGTGTGCACTGTAAACAATCACATCAGTCGTTGCCTGTATGTTCTCTGTATGCACACTGCCTCAAGCTGCACAGGTCCTTGGAGCTGCTGATAATCTAAGAGCCAATAGATAACTACCCTTCTTTCTAAAGAGCTGAGCTACTTCCTTAAACAAAGCTGTGTGGCTCCCGCCTCCAGTTGATAGAGTGAGGTAATTGAGCACACTGACACATCGTGAAGAGGAGAGAGTTTTTTGGGGAGGTTAGTACGTAAGCACAACATAATTACATGTTAACTCTTAACCCAGATTCTTGAAATGAAGTAGGGAGGGTAGCTGAGGCAGAACCCAGGTTTACTGGAGAACCTCTTCTCCTTTCAGCTCTGATGTAGTTTGGATATAGGGACTTTCAAAAGCTGTGGCACTCTTAAGTCACTCTAACAGAACCTTCTTTTCCTGTATTTTTAGGAAGGTGGATGGAAAGAAATGGTGAATGAGACTGGATTTCAGCTAAAGGTAATTACTGTAATTGTTTGTCTCATGACTGCTGTGACACAGAAACACTCCAACAAATGTTTTTTAGGCTGTTTATGAAAGGCTTTTTGCCGTTAGAATGAGCTAAAGGCATTGCTTTATGTATACTTGTAACTACAAAATACAGTGGTGTTCTTAGCATATAATAGGTAAGCCTTCAGTTGTTAAGTTCTCTAGCAGGCTTGTTAGTATGTACCTATGTTTGATGCTCAGCCTTGTAATTCTGCTAGTAATATAAAATTATGATCCTTATAGGCTTTAAAACTAATGAACTTGAGTTCATAGCAGTGCTTTTGTATATTGTCAATTTAGTTTAGTATCGTTTTAAAGATGGGTGTCAGATTTAGTCTGGTAAGAGGTGCAAGGTGTCCAAAAAAAAAAGCAAGCAAAGGGGTCTGAATTGTAGGACTTCTCTGCTGAAAAGGACTAAGACAGATGGATTTGGTGCCCCTTAGCTGTTTAACAGAATGTGTCTTGGAGGAGTACTATCCCCATTGATATCACTGAGTTGGTGGCTGAGTAGACTGGTGGAAGACTTGCAGGAATAGATGATCAAAGGTTGCATGTCTGTACAGAAGGAGAATCTGTGAGAAGCTGATAGATTGCTGGGCTGTGCCTGGAAAAGTTACTGTATGGGGACAAATATGGAGCTTTTGTTTCATTGTAACATGATCAACTCTTATGAAATCATAGCTAGGTGGATTGTGAAGAATATTCTGAATAGTGAAAGCTGAAGAAAATCACTGGTGCTCTTATCCTCAATGTCCAAGTGGCTTTGATACTGACACTTAATGTTGATAACTTAACTTGGCAATAATTCTCTTCCATCACGGTAGGGCTTGCATTTTGCTAGTATTCATAATGCAAAAAATGTAAAACTTTCAAGCTGTGTTCTCCTAGTCAACACATCTTCATTTCAGCTTACGCTCATAGGAGTTCAGAAAGTTTGTACTGGCAGGGTATGTTCAGGAGTGCGTGCAGTGGTGTGTGTATGAAAGAAAACTCATAGCAGAATGCTGAGAATATTTGCCTACCTGAAACCGTACTGTAGATTAAATGAGATGAGCAAGTCCTGTTTCCCTTCTGGATTTGATTGTGTGCGTAGTTACCCTTTTACAGTTCCTGTTTCCATAAGAAAGAAAAATAACTTTTTGCAAATCCTGGGGAAAAGCATCTTTCCTTTAATCAACATCTGAAGTATAAACCCCTCATGATTGGGGGTTATTTAGCACTACACTGGAGGACAAACCTCTATTCACTACATGTCTTAGACTAGAATCAGACCACTTTACGTGCTGCTGCTGTCTCTGCTGCTGATGCATTAAAGCAGGATGTGTTTTTTGTCCCAAAGGGTTTGAACCAGGCTAACTAAACTTTAAATTAGGTATTAATGCAGTGTAGCATGTAATAGTTGAATGTTGATGTTGGAGACTTTGTTTACTCTGCCAACTGTATCATTAAATCATGCCTTTCCTCCCTCCCACCCCCAGCACTTAATTTTATTCTCTAAGGGATTTGTCACTTGGGATTTTAACCCTTCCTTTAGGAAGGAGAAAATACTCCCCTCTCTTTAGTTTACTTAAATGATTATAGGATCATAGTAGGAATTAACTGTCTGAAAACTCCTCAACTACACCTCATTTGATGGGGAATGCATCTCTAAAATGCTTGTGCATATTAGTCTTAAATCAAGTTTAAGACTGGATAGACATTTTTCTAACAGTGTAACTCTGTGCTGAAAATGCTCAAAAGTGGTGTGTGGGAGTTACTGTGCTGTTAATGGCAAGAAGGAACCTACTTAGACAGTTGAGCATTGGCAGGATGTTGGTTCCTGCCTGACAGTGCTTGTGTTACTTACTGAACTCTTCCTTCAGAGCACTACACACGTGTCTGTAACAAAAGGCAGAAACTTGCCCTGTAACTGTAATGTGGGAAGTGATCTTCTTCAAGTGTAAATCTGTTGAATGTGCATGCTGTCCCAACAAGCTCAAATGGTTTTGGTGCCTGCTGTTTGAACATAAGTACAGTATTTTGTGAAATAGCTACTTACAGGGAAGGACTCTGATTTAATGTCAGTGTACCTAGGTGGTGTTTGTACTGTTAGAGAATGTGTGAGGAGTACACGTAGGTGCGTCTGAACAACCTGAAATCTAACTGGCGTGTGTAATGACTTGTGGGGATAGAGCAGTGGAGGTCCAAGGCCATACAAGCCCACAGAGCACTCTGAATAAGCATAAACCCTGGGCTGGGAGTTGGAGTTGCTGCGGTGTTTTGTTCCTTGTGCTATCTTGGACATGCTTCCCCGTGCTGCCTTTGTCTTCCCTTTGCAAGATACTCTTAGAGGAGCGTTGCACGTAGCGGTGACAATGAACGTGTTTTCTTCCAATATCAGTCATGGTCTTGCAGGTTTCATTCACTTACCTTTTGGTTTGTGGACTATGTTTTGTATTGGTTGTTTGGTGGTTGGAAGGAGGACAGCTGAAGTTAGAAAGATTTCCATCAGTACCTCTCATCCTAGTTTGAAGAAGGAAACTGATTTTCCCTCAACATGGATGCTCTCCTAAGTGTCCTCCAGACAGGGAGGTGGTTCCAGGTGAGAGGAACTTGCAGTGATACTCAAATACGGGTTTCTTCTGCTCAGCCCCAATGCAGTGGGAGGTGGAACAGTCTCAAACTGCACCGGTCTCATTTGTAGAAGTTACTGAAAGGGCCCTAAAGGAAGGACTCCGTTCTTTGTTTGGGAAAACACCGTGTTCCTTTTACTGTCATATTCAAAATATCTCTTCAAGCTCCGAGTTGGCTGTAACAGTGTACAAAATATTCCTGTGTCATACATGAGCACTAACAAGTACTGCTGAAGTAACTTGCTGCAAGCAGTTGTGGCACAATCCATTAGCTAAAACAGTACACTATAGGAAATCCATACACATCACAAGATGTGTTATTTATTGTTCTTTCAATGAAAAGAGGGATGTTTTGATCAACAGTAAACTCCAGCCATTTTACCTGAGTTGGAATTTTCATGCAGTATAGATGAGCCCTGAGTAAGCTGTATGTAAAATGCCATATAGAAATGAAAAATTGTGGTGATGTGGGACCTCTTTGGGATGAGGTGGGATATCTCATCTGTATTGGTGTCTAATTAAGAGTAAATACCCATTGCATAGCTTAAGGTTCAATTAAACCGAAAAAAACCAAAAACCCTCCTTGGAGAGATTCCATACTGCTGTTGCAGTCATTGGTAAACCAACATCTCAAAAAGTAAAGTAGCCAATTACCTTTTTAATTAGGTATTGAACTTTCTTCTGTAGAGATTTATATATGCTCTGTTATAGAAAAGAACATTGCATTAAAAATGGCTCTATTCTGATACATATTTACAAAATTACATATTTTCTGTGAAGCCAGTCGTAAAATAAGAGAACACCATGTATAACATTTTGATTTCACTGGGGAACTGTTCCTAGTAATAAAGAGCATATAGAGGTCACTCTACCACTGGTTTTATTTGGTTTGAAAAATATAAAATAGTTTGTCCATATGGTCTTATGTTACCTAATTGCTTCATCTAAAAAGAATGTAGGGATGTGTATCTTAACTCCATGATTTGTGTAACATTTTAAGAAGGGACTATTTTTGTGGGATTTGGATTATACCAGCTTAATTTTAGTGGATACTGTTTACATCCTAGTTCACAAAAATAGCTTAGTTTTTTTACTTTTTAATAAAAAATCTGACATGCAGGGCAGCTAGTGTCAACTTGTTCAATATTTGAAGATTTAAATATGCCAGGAAGGCAGGATTTTTTTCTAATGGTGCTGCCAGAAGCCTGAGATTTTTTTGTCACTGGAATTTAATTGCATTAAATTAACAAAGCTTTTTTTCCCCTTTTTTCAGGCAGATTCCAGATTAAAAGCTCTTAATGCAACATTCAGAGTGAAAAACCCAGACAAGTAAGATTCCACATCCTTCCTCCCTCCCTTTCTCTTTTTCAGTTACAACTGTAACTTCAGATGACAGAATATTCTATCTTCTTAGAATAAATTCAGAAAAGAAAAATTATCTTTCTGCACTTCAAATCTTAACAGAAGCCCAGTAAGGAGGTAGTGTGAAAAGGTTTGATAAATCCTGTTTCTACGAGCAGGAAACATTCAGAAAAGTGCCATCACTTTATGCAAAATGAGTCTTTCATTTTAGCTGGATTAAAAGGAAGGAACAAAAAAAAAAAACAGACCCAGAAAAAGAACCTCTTAATATTTGTTTGCAAAGAAATCTTTCCAAGCATGAACAGAGTACAGATTGATAGTAGGTCTTTCCAAAAATCTGCTAGTGTACAATTCTGGATGTACGCACCCTGGTTCATGGTTCTCTTCAAGCTGCCAATTTTCACAGATGCTTTTGGAAGTCCGGAGGTCAGTTCAGCTCTGTTGCAGTTTAGGAAGCTCTGGGACAGGCACTAGAGCAATCTGCTGGATCAAAAAACTGGTGAGAAGTGTAAGGGTGTGTGCGGCGGGGAGTTCATCACACCCTAGGTGATGTGAGGAGGGTAAAATGAGAATTTCTGCTTCTGCAATAGTTAGAAACATCCGTGTGCAGCAATAGGGTCGAGAGATGTTGCTGTTTGCCATCTGTAAGCAATGAGACAGTATGAAGTGCCCTTCTGGGTTCATCTGATGTCCGATAGTGGCAATACTATTTAGGGAGAGCCCATGTGCCTGACTGCTTTCTGTTGTCTGTTCCCTTTGTACTTCCCTAGCATCTATGGGTATTGTATTAAGGACGTTAGAGGGTACGTACCTTTCTAAACCTCTTTATAGGCTTATCTGTGAATTGGTGCAGTCCCTCCTTTTTTATTCTGTTTGCTTTTGCAGCCTTCTGTGGCAGCAAGGAAGCTTTTAGCTAGGGTTTAATATAAAAGACATTCACAAATAACATTCACAAATGAGATAGAAAGACAGCAATTCTCTCAGTAGCTACAGGTGAAATTGGCCCCTTGTTTGAATGCTTCATCCTCCATCTTTGTGGCTAGTAGGAGTTAGCTTTTCCTGCTTTCACAGCAGGGAAGCTTTACCAATAGCCTGCCTATAGGCATAGGTGGGCAAGGCTGGTTAAGGCTGACATGAGGAATATACTGTTATCTTTTTGAGGTGCCTTAATGTTTCAGAAAGCAAAGCTGTTGTGAGAAGTGGCTTGGTAAAAAGCAGGAAAAGAGTTAATACAAGGAAAACATGAGGAAGGGCTCGTAACAAAAACAGTCCCTGAGTATCTATCACTCAATAGAGACTTCACAGCACTTAAGAGAGATGGCACATGCTTTCTATTGTATTCTGCCAGCTACATGGTTTCCAAATTGAACTTTTGGATACAAGCTGTTTAATAGATAACTGATGAGCATAACTTGTATTAATTCAGGGAGAGCCTTTTAGCATTGCATGCATGGCCCTAACAGGGATAGTGACTTGCTCTGCTTAGCACATCTAGTTTGAGCTGCCTGGAATCTGATGTCTTGCTCTTCTGCATTACCTTTGGTGCTTATGTGGCTGGGTGGTAAAGTGGGTTCAGCAAGCTCACCTTGCCGACACAAAAGATCTGACTGCTGTGTGGAGTGTAGGCTTTCAGGTTCCTGGACCAGGAAGGGTTCAGGTGAAGAACGCTGCAACTCCCAGCCCGGATTGCCTTGCGGGGCAGTGGAGCTGCACCCTTCAGCTTAGAGCAACCTGAGGAGCTTTAAACAGCTGAAACGATGCTGCTCTAGGAGTTCAAATGTGGATTGGAAACTAAACCTCCTCCTGTGGGAAGCAATAAATATCTTTGATGATGGAATTATATGGTGATAAAAATGTGGTATTCTGGTACTCAGAGGTAAATTTGTATCTACTGCAGATCTCTAATTTGGCCCCATGGCACCCATCCTCTTGTTCTCTTTCTGTGCGTTAATCAAAACAATAGTTTTCTTCTTGGTGAAAGCTTTCTTCAGGAAATGCTGAATTCTTTCCTAAGGTAGATTTCTTTTTTTTAAAAAAGGTAACTCTCCTTTTTTTGTCTGGTTAGTTGGACAAGTGGCTTGTTCTTTAGTGAACAGTTCTGCTCTTGTAATATCTTCCTTCACAAAACAGGAAAATGGTACTGCCCTCCCTGATGTAGGGAGGAGTACTGCCAAGTAGAATGCACAAAATAAATAACTTATGTTGAAATGCTGTCTACTGTAAATGAAATTTTCTTCTTTGCCATTACCATAAAAGATATTATTGAGAAGAAGCCTGGTGGTGCCCCTACAGAAATGTGACCTGGTCTGTTCTCCATTTGTGTCTGAAGTTCTACTTAATAGCTCAATTAAATATCTAGACTGTTGGTACTGTTGCAGAACCAGTAAAACCAAAGGAAAAGCGCTAGGCTTGCTTCAGTTACTGAGTGCCAAAACAATGTCTTGTTTCACACTTCTACTGTTATGATGCGCTGGAAAGTAAACATCCCTTTGTGTGCCTTGCCAAACTCAGTTTGGAAATTACTTTATAATTATGTAGTATTTTTACATGAGCAATGAGTAAGACTTAAGCAAATACTTAAGGAATAAACCTTTGATCTGCAATACCACCAGTCTCTTAAAAACAGTTTTTCCTGAAAAATATTTGTAAGATTTTCAACCTTCACAGAAGATTGGGCAAAAATTAGCATCACTTTGGTTTATGCTTTTCTTGGCAATAAAAAGAAGACAGCTTGGTTCTGAAGTGGTGTGGGTTTTTTTTCTTATTATTATTTTATTTTTTAATGGAGGAGGAATTGGCATGGGAGAAGATGTATTGCTGCTGGAATCCAGGATACTGAAAGTTCTTTTAGGTTCCTGACTCTTGCCTTCAGGGAGTACGGCATTAAAGCTTTCTTGCCACAAAACAGGATAAATAAAACTTTTCATTATAAATTTCTGGAGTGGAAATGGGAGTCTTCCTGAGCTGAAGGCATGCTTTTTAATCTTTTGTTTTTAGTTCAATTATTTCAAATATCTTCACTGTTCGTGTCTGCAGCTGTCTGACATGCAGCCCCAGTGCATATTTTATAAAGTGTAAACTGAAAAGATTGCTCTCTAAACCCCACTGTGCAGATCAATGACTATATTTATTTTTCCCATACAGTTTCTCTGCTGGCTTTTAAATCTTTTTATGTACTTTAACCCTGTGTGTGTCATAATCTTATAAAAGATGCTCCTTGGAGATCAAAAATATTAGAAATGGTAATAAAGTTCCTGTTTCCTGAATGTAAGGAGGAGAATATTTTAGGGGAAGACTTCCTGGCAGGGGAAGAAGAGGCGTTAAATGAAAAACCTTGGAATTTCATACTTGGTCACCCAAAACAAGTGACCTGACTCATTTTACTAAGACATCTTGGGTACAAACTATTCTGAAATACAAAGCCTGACTGTGTGCGTGCAGTGGGAGGAGGAGTGAAGGTTTTTTTATGCTTGAACATCAACCTGGAAGGCTAATCTTAGTCTGCCATTCCTTAATTCTAGTTGTGTTCTTCTGTGTTTATTTATTTATTTTCAGATCATTGTTTAGTAAATTAGGTAAAGCTGTTTCTGGCTTCCCATCTGGATGAAATATGTTCTTGTGTACCAAAGTAGGTCATGAAGTTAGACTTGTGTGTAATAGGGAGGGTTTATGTATAGAGAAGTGGCTGTTGCTCTAGCTTAATTGGTTCCCTGTCACTAGCAAAGCTGTGGCAGCTGCTTCGTGATTAGCATTAGCTATAAATGTATCAACTTAAACTACCACCAAGGCTTAACTGGGGTGGCTGATAAAATGCCTCTTTCCTTCAGTAGTGGCAGGCCAGCAGTGTGCACATGGTCACCTGCGATGGGTTGCCTGGCTAGTACCTTGCTAAGCTGTAGTGACTTGATTGCTTTTAGCCTTGTGTGGCTCCTGTGCAGGTACAGGTCTCAATAGGGTTTCATATGTGACTAGTTACAGTTACTGTACAGCTTAGCCTTAGAGGGATTGTGATAATTATGAATGCTTCCTTGAACTTCTGAAAGTTTATATTCAAAACTGGCTAGATGGCAGCTTGAAAGTAAAGTGTCTTTGTCGGGTCAGAAAGGTGAACACATTTTTATTAAGACGTATGTATGCTTCAGCAGATTTTGGCTTTGTACTTATTTGAAGCTTTCCTATTCACTCATGCTTGCTTTTATAAATCCCATTTTAAAAAAAATCCGAGAAAATTATATAGTAATTTCAGTTAACTACTTATATTTCATAAAAATGTCTCTCTTAAATTGTTCTGAACCTTCCTCATTTACATAAAAAAATAGCAATTATGCAAGTGTTGGGTTGTTCGCTTTAGGGGAATTAAACTCTGCAGTCACTTCTTTAGGAGTCTTCAGCTAATTCCACCTCAACATAATCCAGGCTCCATCTCGCTGGCTGTAGCGTTGAGGCTCTATCTTGCATTCTGTGAAAGCTTGCTTTCATGGTGGCTAATGATGTACTATCTGTTTCCTGCTCCCAGGAGATTTACTGAGCTAAAACACTATAGCGATGAACTGCAGTCTGTCATATCACACCTTCTGCGAGTCAGAGCTGTAAGTATTTCCCATGTGTGTCGTGACAAATAGTATAATTTATTTCTAAGGCATTATTTCTTGTTTAGTCAAGTGAACTGGTATATGTGCTCTAGAATAAGGGCAGTTTTGCCTGAGAGAGTCTGGCTCTGGAGCGTGGGGCAGGAGATGTCAAGGGGGGGGCCACTGACTTGGAGGGGGAAAGAGTTCCAAATGTGTGGTTGAGTTTGACAGTCATTGGAGGAGCAAACACATGCACGTTGCTAATCTGCCCTCTCCCCTGATGGTCACATATCAGAGGGAGGTGTTTTAAAGAGGATCGAGATGTCTGCTTCTCTCTACTCAGCAGACAAGTTGCTTTTGTTGGATGTCTGGGCTGGGAATGGCCCTAAACCACAGTTTTCTGGTCAGACATATAATACTTTGTTTTCCAGAGCTTGTAGTATGAATCGTGTATGCTTCCCAGCACACTTTTTCTTTTTTTGGCTTGTTCTTCGATCTGTAATGAATAATGTTCTTTCTAATGATGAGAACAATTATATCATGCATCAAGATACTCTATGGGTTGAGAATGGAAGATTTCTTTTTTTTTTTTTTTAAAGTCACGAAAAGGAAATAGGAAATTACAATTCCAATAATGAGGAGCATGATACTGCTTTTTAGTATGTTCAACAGGGATTTAATTTTTGATGGAAACTGTGCAGCAGAGAGGATGGTAATTGATTGCCCTGTTGAGCTGAGGTTCTTGAGAAGATTAATCACTGGTGTTCTACTGACAGTGCCTTTCTCTCAGGGCTGTATACTCATGAGATCTGTTGGGCAATTTGCTTATGTTTCCTTTTTACTGCTTTGACAGACCAATAACGGTAACTCTTACTGAACTTCAATCTCATTCATTGGTACATCACAATTACAAGGGCATTATCTGGATTACAAGTTGCACTTCAGAGTGTACATGTGGTGTTTTCTTCTGAGGTTGTTGCCAGCATTGTAGTGCTGGCTGCAGCAGGTACTGACTCTCCAAACAGCTGAAATGACATACCTAGCTTGAGCAGTAAGTTCTGCAATGGATAGCTCATTTCCCTTCCTTTGTTTCACTGAGCTGGATGGAAAAATTAAGTCACTTGTTAGAATTTTACCGAAGCTTTCCCTGTAGTCTTGGTGACAGGATGGACTTTTGTCTTGCCATCTCTATGTTAAATAAGCAAGTGTGTATATAAATTTGGCATTATTTGGGTAAAGGAGGCTATGCCTTACATCTGGTTATCAAAAACTGAAGGTAACTCGATTATTTGTGGTCCCCACAGGCATATCCTATACATGGGCACTTCCAAAGAAATACTTGAAATGTTACTTTTCAACATAGCCTTGACTGTGACTTCAGTCTTCAAAGACTTAATGCAGTTGATTTTTCCCTTCAGTAATGGCTTAGATTAGATTTAGGCCTAATCATTTTTACCTGTATAAAACATTAAGGCTTTATCTTGAAGTTTGTATATGGGTTTTCACAAAGCAATTGTACTTAATGTTGTTGACCAAAAATTGACTCTAAATAATGTTTTAGAGGGTAGCAGATCGGCTGTATGGTGTCTATAAAGTCCATGGCAACTATGGAAGAGTATTCAGGTAAGAGTTCATCCATGTTTTGAACATGTACGTAGAAAGGGAGATGTGTATATAGAGAGAGAAGGTAGGGAATTATGTTGTTATGCTTTTGGAAAGTATATCTGAAACATTTAAATGCCTGCCTTGAAAAACTTCATGTTGCAGTTCTAACGAGATTTCTGTGTTGGATATAGTGATCTCTGGATTTGCTGAGCTTAGTCTCAAGTGGAGGACTTTAGCTTTTTGTTTTGTGTTCCAGACCTTTGGGGCTTTTGTTGTTGCATTGGCATTCTGTTTCTTCCAAAAGTAACCTATTACCTATTTTCATGCAGTTGTCTCTGAAAAGCCTCTAGGTCCTTTTAAGGGTTAAAAATCAACAACTGTATCTATCCAATTTTAGTACCTTTTTAAAATGAATTTGCCAATCGTTTTTTGATTTATATGAGTGAATTGCATACTCAAGTTTTCCATCTCACTGGAGAATTAAAGAATCTAAACTTCTGGTTAAGGGAAACCTCCTGCTTCTACACACTGTTCAAGTGCTAAATTTAATTCTCTGGGTTAATGGATTGCAGATGTCTTTCTCATTGGGGGTTTTAAAGTGAAATTAGGTGTAGTTCTGTAATAACACAAAGACAAACAAATGTCAACATCAGCAGTGTGGAATGTTTATGAAAAAGTGAAGGACAGAATAGATGCATTAGACATAAATTATGTGAAATATAAGGGGACCCCCTCCTTCTTTCTTGTAAAAAGACTTGTGGATGTAATTCTTGTAACTAAGAAATCTCATAAGGTTTCACAAAGCTGAGAACACAATTAAAATTGCAGTGTACATACTTGGGTGTCCAGAACAAGACTCTTGCTATCTTTATTGTAGCTCTGTTTCCTTCTTTATCTAAATGACGTCACTAATGTTAATAGATAGTAGCAGTAATGAGACGGTTGTGTTTTTTAACGACTAGAACTAAACAGCAGTCTACTATGAAAACAGAAAACAACATACAGCAAACGGCTTCAGGAGCAGTAAAATGCTTGCAAATGTCAAATCCCACTTTCTAGTTTTTGGAATGAGAGACTTCTATCTGATGTGTTACAAGTCTGGAAAGCTTAGTTTCCTCTTGGTGAGCGTGTTAGACCAAATTCTGTTTTAGAAAGTTCCCTCTTACCCCCCCTTTATTTTAAGTGCTAGTATTTTTTTTTTTTAAGTGAGTTTTAGCTATTCAAACAAGACTCCTTCTGCTCAAAACCAATCCCAAACTAAGTATATTTGTGAGGATGAGTTTAGGTGGCAGGGACAATTGTTTAACAGAGTGCTGTAAATAGCCTTGCCACATTGTCAGTGTTGCTGCTCAGAGGAAGAAACCAGTTTGGCCAAGTCTAACTTTGAGGCAGTTTCCCTTCAGGTGTCACCTGGAAAGAAACTATATACAGGATGCAGCTTATTAACTTCCCTTACCCTTCATGTGTGATGTTGTTTCTCGTTTGTTTTTCCTACAGTGAGTGGAGTGCAATAGAAAAGGAGATGGGGGATGGGTTGCAGAGTGCTGGCCACCACATGGATGTGTAAGTACTGACTGAATATCTGATAGTTTGATGTAAGCCAGATGTAGAACTCTCTCTCTTTCCTCTCTTTTCCCTCAACCCCAAAGTACATACAAGTAGTGCACTGAGAAAGTTGGGGGTGCGTTGTTTTTAGGTATACAGTGTTTCTGTGATTTTGGATGCAGGCACAATTTTAGCATCCATGTACTGTATTAAGTAGCTCAAAAGGTCTCAGGAGAACCAGAGGGGTTTCTTTTTTTATTATTATGTTGAAATTGTAGAAGTGTTTGGAATTCTTCCAGTTTTTCTTTTAAGCTACTATGCGAGAAACTGGTGGAATACAACTTTAATGTACTGCAGACCTGATGAGATCCGTTTGGTTTTGATAGCAGCATTTTGTACCATGCAGTAGATGGTACACAGATTTGGACTTAATTACAGAAACTTAAGAAATTTAATTAATCAGCACCAAAACTCCACTGGATTCTTGAAACAAATACTGACTGGATGTAATAAAGTAGAGAATCCTCCCTCTTTGCATCTTTAGAGTCAGTTGGCAGAGTACGCGAAGCACAGCCTTCAAAATAAGAGTCTAGCACTTCAGAGTGCTCATAGAAGTGGCATTCTAGGCTCATGCTTTCTGCTTTCAGGTAGTCATATATAGTAAGCGAAACAGTATAATTTCTCATCACTCTGATTCCTCTTCTATAATCACATGGTACAGATAAGTAACAACTCCAGCAAGAGACGGAAGCTGTTTGACACTTCTTCAAACAATATTTTTACTGATAAAGTGTAATTTGTGTGGAAGTAAAGTTATCAGTTTACAGTGCAGATTTACATATGTACCACTGCCTGGTTGTTATTGGTATTATGCTTTGTCAAGTGGAAGGGTTTGAAGAGCCATGCCAAACTCTGCCCTCAGCTTCTTCAGAATAATTCTGTTTTTATCAGATCTTTAAGTATTTGAACCCCTCTGAATAATTTTTCACACTTTTGTGTTTTGGCTAACATGGTGGTTTGCACCCAAAAAAGCTGTAATATTTTTTAGGCAGAGTGCTCTGGTGAGAATAAAGAAATGCAGAATGCATTCTGCTTTCAGAAGAAAATAATTGAAGTAGAGGTGGAATACAATATTAAGCACCTATTGCAGTATGCAGAAATTGAAGAGATTATGAAAACATGGTATAATATAGAGGAGTTAAGGAGGCACAAGTAGTTTTTCAGTGGTTCAGATACACCACTCTAAGATGTCAAACACCTAGAAATGCATAACCAACTAAAAGTAGTGGGTCTCACTTCTCAGTCAGGAGGCTGAACCCTCTCCACACATCCAAGATGTTCAATATTTCTGTCTGTAACATAGTTAGGGTTAAAGATCCAGAGTAATGGCAGTGGGTTTCTGGGTAACTTTAATCGCTGCATGAAGTCTGAGGTAGCTTTCATTCTGTATTCTCTTCTGCTCTGGCACTCTCATACAACAATAATCTCTTGGTGACAATCAAGCAAGAAGCAGCAGCTGTGAGATTCAGGAACTCATTCAGTGACCCATGTGGCCTCCTACCAGTAAAGATCGTATCTATGATCTCTTGAAAGTATAACTTACCAGTCCAGTTACCATTCCCATAACATTAGACAGGAGTTCATTGCAACAGAAAGCTACTTCAAGGAGGTTGCCTAGTATAGATGTTAAACTTAGAGAATAATTTAATTATTCTCTATCTACCCCATATGCCGTAGTCTTTACTAGGTGTTTATTTAAACTCTTGAGTTGTTATTGTTTAGTATGATCTAAAACTGCATAATATTTGGAGAAGACATCCCAAAGCACCTCTGGGTGTGTGTTGTATAACAGGATGAGGCTTGCTAAAGTGATAGAAAGCAACAGAGTATGCTGAGAAAGCTCAAGTGCATGGCTGTAATTCTGTCATTTAAAAGATGAAAGAAAAAAATGCCAGACCTTTGACTTCTGTCCTTTATGCTATTAATGAGTGACCCTTTATCTCTGTATCAACTAGACTGTCATTACAGGTGGAAGCAGTCTAAACTAAAACAGGGGTTTGGTTGATAATTCCCATGAAGAGTGGGAACATATTGGGTACCTTTAGAACTTACTGCAGTGTTTCTCCTTCAGATTTTCCCTGGTTTGTCTACCTGCTTAGGACAAACCAGTATTTAAACTTCAGCTTAGGCAGTCAGCAATACAGCTTGTCTTACTACTTTTTTTTCAAATCAAACATAAGTGTCATTATGAAAAACCTGTCTAGGTAACGTGGGTTTTTGGTTTTTTGGGGTTTTTTTCTGTTTGGTTTTTTGGAGAGTTGTTCTGCCACAAACGAGCTCTAGCACTGCTCTAAACTTAGAACTTACTTGAAACTGAAACGTGGTCCATCTGCTGCCCTGAGAAATCTAACCACTATACTAAAATTACTGCACTTCAGAACTTAAAAATAGAGAGGGTAAGCCATTTATGACCTGTGTGGCTGCAGGATTTTTTCAGAACAAATATATTTTTCAACAGTTTGGACTACTTCCTTACTTTGATTCATAATGTGAATTCTTGTTCTGCCTGTTCTTTTATCCCTTCTACTTAAACTGATCTGCTCTTGCTGGTCACTTCATATGTTAATATTTATCACCAATAGCCTTGGTAGGGCTTTTCCTGGGTGTGCCATGTCTTTGATTTCGCAGAGCATCAAAACAACTCATCTTGCTTGCAAACTTATAAAATTCATACTTGAACAGATGGGCATGTCTACAACTTTTCCTCAGGCTCCACATTCTGCCAGTTATTCTGCAAGTAGCTGCTCCCTCTCTGAAGAGCCTTAGTTCACATGCCCTACTGAGCCGGCTTGAGGATGATGGTAACTTTCAGGAGGATTGTCTTCCT